GAGCTCAGATGCACATTCTCTCAGAACCCATGGTGAAACGCCATCTGGGCCAGCTGCTTTGTTCTTCCCGAGCTCCTTTAGCATATTTTCCACTTTATCTCTAGACACCTCTATCCGCTCTATGTTGTTCTCTGGAATTCTTATTGTGTCTGGTTCTCTGAATATTTCATTTTGTACAAACACACTTTGGAACTTTTCATTTAATGTTTCACACATTTCCTTTTCATTTTCCGTGAATCTGTTTCCCATTTTCAACCTCTGGATATTATCCTTTACCTGCAATTTGTTGTTTATAAATTTGTAGAATAGGCCCAGTTCTGTTTTACATTTATCTGCTATCCCTTTTTCAAAATTTCTTTCTGCCTCTCTCCTTACTGCTGTATAGTTGTTTCTCGCATCTTTGTATCGCTGGTATGTTTGGGGGTTTGGCCTCTTCCTATACTGATTCCATTTTTGTGTTTTGATGTGTGTGGATATGTGCGCCTGCAGGCCGCTGCAAGCAACAGCCTAGTGGACCACTCTCACAAGTCAAGCCTGGCCTCAGGGCAGGCTTCGGGAGTAGATGAACTTCCAGAACCCCAACAACCAGGTATCAACCAGGTTGGGTGACTACTACTCCTTCGGGGGGGACGGGGGCTGGTGGGGCAGGCCTCTTCTGCGGTCCATCGAGTCGTCTCAGAGTGGGTTCGCTTGGGCATGGTCGAAATGACCTCGCCCCTCAGGTGGGTTCCCGCCTGTTTCCAGTCCTGAAATGAGATTGTGCGGAACTCTGGTTCGTTCTGGACTTATCCCATCTGAACCCTTAGGTTTATTGGCCATCCTTTTGGATGACTACTGTCTCAGGTCTGTCTTCTGTTGGAGCCGGGTTCTTGGATGGTGTATTGGCACATTCTGGTTCATCCGAGATTCAGGGACTTGCTCAGTTTTGTTGTGGATGTCAAGGTTACTGCTTTCATTGCCTTCCAATCGGCTTGAATCTGGCGCCCTCACGTTTCCACATGCTTTACTCGGGTCGTGGTGACCCGCTTGCTTCTTTTGGGTGTTTGGTTTCTGGCCTACCTCGACGACTGGCTGGTTTGGGTTCCCTGCCAGTCTGTATATCAGCTTGCCAGGGATTTGGTTCTTTCCCGGCTTGCTGGGTTCGGGTTCTTGGTGAAATGACAGAAGTCCCACCTGGTTCCCTCTCGGATTCGGTCTTGACTGGGTCTTATGGGCCGGTCGGCCGATCGGACAGCACGCTGGACTTGTGATCCTGTGGTCCTGGGTTCGATCCCAGGCGCTGGCGAGAAACAATGGGCAGAGTTTCTTTCACCCTATGCCCCTGCTACCTAGCAGTAAAATAGGTACCTGGGTGTTAGTCAGCTGTCACGGGCTGCTTCCTGGGGGTGGAGGCCTGGTCGAGGATCGGGCCGCGGGGACACTAAAGCCCCGAAATCATCTCAAGATAATCTCAAGATATGTTGGATGTCAGACAGCTTCTGAACCTAGCCCCCTCAGAACCTGAAGGGGCCAGATTCTGGCTTGTGGTCCCCGGTAGACCTAGAACTCCACCCACATCGACTGATGCAAATAGGTAGGGATATCCTTATCAGCCTGGATAGCTCTGGTAGCCTCCGGGACTCGCCCCAAAAATGGCGTTTCATTACATTCAACGCTGGTTTTCTTGTGCATGGGCAAACATGCATGAATATCGTGAGCTTTAAGATTTAACAAAGTACCAAATATAAATATTTGACACAAAAAAAAAAAATAAAAAAAATTAATGTATACAAATTAATATTAAAAAATTAAAAGATCTGGGTAAATTTTGGTTTGGAAACAGGGTTCTTGATTTAAAAAGAAAATTATTTGGCAACATAACATTTGTGGGATTGCACAATAGTTTCAGATGTTGTTTAAACATACTGAATATGTACGAGGGAGTTTGTTTTTTATGTAAATAGGACCTGCCCTCCATAGAACAATGGACCTGTAGTTTCCTCTATTCTTATATACAGTATAATGGTTTTGTTAATGCTAACTGACTCATGACTTTTTTCAAAACGTTTCATACTGTATTTCATTCTATTCGTTATAGACTTTTCTATGTCCATGAATGTGTCACACCTTTATTTTGTTTCCCTTTTTGTTAACCCTTACACTGCTCAGGGGTCATATGGACATTTACACCCCTGAGCGCAAGAAAAAAAAAAATTCAAAATTTTTTTTTCGTCTTCTAAACATGTTAATTTGTGTCCCCTGAGCACGGAAAAAATAACAAAAAAATCGTAGGTGACATATTTTGGGCGCAATTGACCGAGGAAGTCTGGCAAAAAGTGGGCGTTGACAGAGCGGTCGTCAGACCCGGTCAGCGTCACCCGCGTTGACAGATGGGAGTTGCCACAAAGATATTATTACCTAATTGTTTCAATGTCTCCGATTGATTTTTTCTTAGTTTTTTTGCAGTACTATTATTCAATAGTGTGTATTGTAATATATTTATATAATAAAGGTGGTTAATAATCGCTATACTCAAAAGTGTGATGTGCATATTAGTGATTCAATTATTATGTTAATAAAACAATAAACAAATAGTTTTGCTGCTATTACACTCTATACACAGGTTATATGTAAGTATTGGCATGTTTTGGTCACCATAACGAACCACTAAGTTGGTATTGAGAGTCGAAAAGCAACGAGGAGTTACCGCCACACACCAGCCAGCCACTCGCTGCCACTCCCTCAACACACGCACTAAACTTTCTCCCCCAACAATACCATTTGTTGTGTTATTACACTATGTACAGACGTTATATATAAGTATGTGTATATTTTGTTCACCACAACTGTACAGCTAAGCTGATATAGTTAGTTCAGGCACTAAGAGTCGTCGCTATACACAAATGGCGGCTGGCGGCTCCCTCACTCTTTCAAGGTCACACGCACTAAACTTTCTCCCCCAACAATACCTTTTGCAGTGTTATTACCCTATATACACATATTATATATAAATATCTACATGTTTTATGCACCGTAACTGTACACCTAAGCTTGTAGTGCGCCCAAAGAGCATAGTGGCCACCCTCTAAACAGCTAGACAAATCGTGCAGACGACGTCACCTCTGTCACCCATATGGCTCCTCCCAGCATAATCCTTTTGCTGTTATTACACTAATACACACATTATATATAAGTATCTACATTTGTGTTCACCATAGAGAACCACTGACCTGGTATAGTGAATGCAAACAATAACAGGTGGCCACACAGTCAGTAAACGATGCTGTCTCCCTCCGTCTCTCAGCATCACTCCTCTCACAGCGCTAATTATTACAACAATCCTGCTATTATCACAACCCTGGTTATTTATATCACAGTCATTGGTCATCTGTAATATTGTCATCGCTAAATAATAACAATTATATATTTATTTTGACATTTTTCGGCGATGCTGTGGTCACAAGCTGAACATCAATGCTGTTCGCTCATGCTGCGTGCGCCGGCCTTGGTTGCTCCAACAGTACTGTGCCTCTCACACCTGAGAATATTGCCCACGATTTTTTTTTAAAATGGCATCTGTTTACAAGAGCCCTGAGGAAGCTACTGTGAACCCCGTGTAGCCGCGGGCCATTTGAATCAGACTTGGCACCCTATGGCGTATATATACGCCATGCGCACCATGGGACATGTTACTCAGGGCGTATATATACGCCATGCGCAGTTTAAGGGTTAACAGCAAAGGTCTTTTATACTGATTTCATTTGGAATTCTTCTACTTTCATCACTGCTTTATATATATATATATATTATTAAATATGACCGAAAAAGTAAGATTACAGTAATAATTCTAACACAAATTTTCTCTTATGTTTCTTATTCGTGTTATTTTCGCTAACACGAAAATTTGTGTTAGCTAATAATAATTTTTCTCTATTAATAATATTACTTCCTGAAATAATATATTTTCTCTAATTTTTTCTTATGAAATGATAAAGCTACCCATTTCATTATGTAAGAGGTCAATTTTTTTTTATTGGAGTTAAAATTAACGTAGATATATGACCGAACCTAACCAACCCTACCTAACCTAACCTATCTTTATAGGTTAGGTTAGGTAGCCGAAAAAGTTAGGTTAGGTAGGTTAATTAGTCGAGAATCAATTCATGAAAACTTGGCTTATTAGGCAAATTGGGCCTTGCATAGTAGGCTGAGAAGTGCGTTCTGGCTACTAGGTATGACATATATTATATATATATATATATATATATATATATATATATATATATATATATATATATATATATATATATATATATATATGACAGCCTATTGTCATATATATATATATATATATATATATATATATATATATATATATATATATATATATATATATATGTCTATGTCGTACCTAGTAGCCAGAATGCACTTCTCAGCCTACTATGCAATGCCCAATTTGCCTAATAAGCCAAGTTTTCATGAATTAATTGCTTTTCGACTACCTAACCTACCTAACCTAACCTAACCTAACTTTTTCGGCTACCTAACCTAACCTAACCTAACCTATAGAGATAGGTTAGGTTAGGTAGGGTTGGTTAGGTTCGGTCATATATCTACGCTAATTTTAACTCCAATAAAAAAAAATTGATCTCATACATAATGAAATGGGTAGCTTTATCATTTCATAAGGAAAAAATTAGAGAAAATATATTAATTCAGGAAAACTTGGCTTATTAGGCAAATCGGGCCTTGCAAAATAGGCAGAGAAGTGCATTCTGGCTACTAGGTACGACATATATATATATATATATATAATATATATATATATATATATATATATATATATATATATATATATATATATATATATATATATATATATATATATATATATATATATATATATATATATATATATATATAATACACACACACACATATACATATATACATACATACATACATACTGTATGTGAATGAGTTTTTGTAGGTACGATTGACCTCAAATGACTTCTGCACAGGTTGATGGAGCAAATGACGAACCACTCTGCACACCTCATCCCAACACATGTTCCTCTGCTAGATTCACCCATCCGAGAGCATCTACCAGCAGTTTGAAGAACCAGCCTATTGTCACTGCAGATAAGAACATAATGGATGCGATACTGCTTAAGAGATTAAAGGCTACTCAGGTTAGTATTCACTTGGGAATTCTCAGTTTTAAGTATCATTGGGGATTTCTGGGGGAGCCCCTTGTGGCTCCCTGAAGCCACTGATATGCTGATATCGTGCCAAACTACTAGGTTCATCAGTTTTTTTGTTTTTTTTTGCCTACTGGGGACCATGAGCCAGAACCTCGCTTTCCCCTTAGAGAGGTGCAGGAAGTGGTGGCACTTACGATAAAAGTTCTATGAAATTATTTGTCTGATATTACCAAGGAAGGCACCCAGAAAGTGCCAAAATAAAACAAACCACTGCTGATTATTAATGAGACTGCAGCCTCAAGGACTGCCAAAAGAACTGTTTGAACAATGTAAGCAAACTATTGAAAATTCACAAAAATAACTCGAGCTCATTTGCCCCACCTCTTCCCCCTTGTTTGAGGAGAGAAAGGAGGCAGCCCAGGCCAGCTGGCTGCTCCATCCTCGGTTCTGTTGCCAGTAGTAGCACTACTTAGTTGCTTTCTGTCACTCTGGTTCCGGTGTCCTGTGTTTAGCTAAGTAGTGGCTCTGCCTTTGTGGCTGTTCCTGTGCACTTTTGTGCAGCATGAGCCAGGAGTAGACAGCATTTGGAGCTGCTTGTGCTCAGAGCTATGATTCCTTTGTGCTCCTTTAGTGCTGCCAGGTTATCTTCCCTGGGGTGTTCAGGGTGTTACCCCTCTGGAGATCATCACCCTAGACGAATCGGTTGTCTTTGACTGTTTTTTTCTCGGGTTGAGTACAAATTTGACTGGCAGGGCACACTGAGGTTCACACAGCCTTGACCGGCGCATTGAGGTCGGCCTTTGCAGCCATGTGATAGGCCTATGTTGGCCTACTATTCTCTCCTTTATACAGATGCTATCTATGTATAATTTCAAATTATTGGAGAGCCTATGATATTACATTGTTTTTTACTGGTATCTGTATAGCATTCCCAGTGCCTGGGCATACCTGTAGGCTTTGGAATGCCTCATTTGATTTAGTAGTAGTCCCACCATATCCACTCTAGTTTCAGGTGAGTTTGAGGGTTGTATGCTGCCCATGTCACGTGTTGGCATACAGTCTGTCTGTCTCCGCTTGCTGCCTGTTGGTGGGTGGCACCTGCGGCCCTGAGTCATGGTGGGTGGGCTTGCTCCTTTCATGTTGCTCTCCTTCTGACCCTTCCAGTGAGGTCTTCAGGCAGCAACCATTTGCTCATTGGACTCTTAGGTTGCAGCAATCTGGGCTGTTTGCCTGGTTGGTGTTTAGGTTCCCAGATTTAATTCTGGAGGTATTGGTTAATTCACCAACTGGAGACTTGAAGTTGTTGGTTAATTCACCTGTAGTTCCAGCCGCATCTCCTCTTCCTTAACTGTTGGGCTTGGTTCACTTTCTTCTTGCGTCTGGTCCCATAGTTTAAATTTCTTGGGGCCAGAGTTGGATTTAGCTTGGGATAGGGCTTAGTCAGCTCCATGGGCAGCCACATCTAATTCAGGTGTGGAAGCAGGTAGGCCTACTGTTCCCACCAAGACTTCTGGGTACTCCTTACATGGCCAGCCCTCTTTCCTTTGAGGCCTCTTCCTTGAACTCTGCTTTTCTATCCTGAGCAGTAGGTGTGGATGTCGGGTCTGCCCCAGAGCCCTCTGTTGTGATTTCCAGGGCTTGGGGGAGTTGGTTGTGGGTTCTTGGCCATTTTGAACCCTCTATTGCCTGTCATGCCTTTTGCAGTGTGTGTTTTGGCCCGGGGAGGAGGGGGGCTATTTGTTTCGGTACGTTGCAGCTCTTGTCTGGATTCAAGCTCATGGGTCAAAGTTGCCATTTTGCATGTGCTTGCCTCAACCTGATCAACCAGGCAGCGAGTACAACAGCCTGGTTGTGCTCGCAGCCCGGTCGTCGACCAGGCCTCCTGGTTGACTAGTCCAGCAACCAGGACCTGGTCAACAACCGGGCCGCAGGGTTGCTAAGCCCCGAAATCACCTCCAGCTAACCTCTTTGGGCTCCTTTTTTTCGGCAGCTCATGAAGCTTTTTTCTGGGGGCGGAGCTTGTACGGCTCCCCTTCCCTCCAGAAAACCCCTGGAATTTTATTTTTGTTTTTGTTTTCCCTGCCTGGTGGGGGGGGGGGGGGATCTGCCTTTGCTTAGTTGCCCCCTATATCTTATAAGATTTTCTGTGTTTCTGGTGGTATCCCCCTGCTAAGACCCCCGTGAGTGAACATGACCCGGGCGGTTCAGTTTTTAGAAACTTTGTTGATAGACTTGGGAGACAGCAGTACTCTGCCTGGGCTTCCCCGAGCACAAGTTCCATCTCAGGACCCTGTGAATCCCCACGGGGGCATGTGGGTCCAATGGATGTGACCCCTGAGTACTCCCTGCTTTGTGCGAGTTTGAGGGTTGCTCTGTTCTCTTGTCTTAAGGTGATTCATTATTTTTTCCTCATCATGCTGCCTGCTGGGTCGGTGACACCTTCAATACAGAGTCCTGCGAGTTTCGTTGCTTGCTTGTGACTCAATTTACCCAATCACCGATGACACTATTCGGGTACAGATAGCGCAGGTGTTGCACGTTAGGTTTAGGTTCTTGCAACACGCTAGGTTGATTGCTAACCTGGAAGCTCCAAGGCTGCTCCATTTTGGTTATAGAGACCAGGACTTGGGGGGGGGGGTTATTGGTTGCTTCAGCCTTGGTTCAGTCCTCACCCCTCGTCCTTCCCCTGCTGTTGTTAGATCTGCTCCCCTTCCTCCTGCATCCGGCTCCAAAACGTCTGAGGGTTTCGGAGTCGGGGCAGGGTTTAGATGGTCTTGAGACTCGGGCAGTCTCAGAGGATGCCCCTTACGGGGTGGCGACAAAAGCATTCGAGTCGGGTTTCTCTGCCGAAGCGTTTTGGTCTAAGCAGTGGGTCCCTCTTCCTTCCGGCTGGCTGGCTTTTTTTTTTTTTTTTTTTTAGATGTATACAAGAGTTGTTACATTCTTGTACAGCCACTAGTACGTGTAGCGTTTCGGGCAGGTCCCTGGAATACGATCCCCGCCGCGAAGAATCGTTTTTTTCATCCAAGTACACATTTTACTGTTGCGTTAAACAGAGGCTACAGTTAAGGAATTGCGCCCAGTAAATCCTCCCCAAATCCTCCCCGGCCAGGATACGAACCCATGACATAGCGCTCGCAGAACGCCAGGCGAGTGTCTTACCACTACACCACAGAGACTTTTCTTTTGAGGCCGGGGATTTGAGAAATGCCTCAGCATTTTGGGGCCTGATGTGGTGGTTCCCGGGGCTGGGGAGGGGTTGACTTGCGGCCCTTGGGCCCTGTTGGACCCTGCATGGGTTTTTCTGTCCTCTGAGTGGGGTTTTCTTTCCCCCCTCTTCGTATGAGTTGGATTTGGTGTCTGCCCCAACCTGGGTTCGGTTCAGTGTCCCTTCGGGTGTTCAGTCCCATCTTTCCGGAGGTTTTTGGCTCCTGCATCCTTCCTCATGTGGTGCAGGACGCCTTTGCGGCTTACCTCCTAGGCGACCCGGATTACGCTTCTATCATACATCCGTCTTCTTTCAGGTTGGGTCTTCCTTTCCCTACTTGATTCGTTACGAGGATTCGTCCTGGCTGGCAGACTATCCTGTGTTTTCTGTGGAGGCTTGGCATACGTTCTGTCGTTCTCGCATGCTTAAGTGGAGTGAGGCGCTGACGGTGGTCCAGGTTTTCCTGGGGCGGGCGAGTTTGAGCACCTCGATGCGTGCTTGTTCGCCCTGGTACTTTCTCAGCATGTCGGCATTGTGCAGCTTCACGTGCAGGTTCCTTCCTTTTCGGCTGCACTGGTTGCCGAGGACCTGTGCACTCGTGGCCTGCTGACTTCGCTCTTGCAGTAATTTTCCCTCCTGGAGCTGTCCACAGATTGGCTTGAGGAGGATGCGGAGGTGCTTTGGGCCGTTCCTGGGTCTAGTGCCCAAGGCACTAGACCCAGGAACGTGTGAGTGTCGTGTGAGTCGTCAGCCCAGTTAACATGAAAGATTTGTCAAACATATAGTTCAGAGATTTATTGAACAACCACAGAAGGTGATCGTAGTGCTTTTAAAATGTTAGGCTAAGCTACATACGTAAATACATAGATACACAGATTTATGAAGGCATTAATGTGAATTTGTAATTCTGATCAGTTTTATACTTTATACACATACATACACACACAATGGTGAAATGTAATTCTGATCAGTTTTATACTTTATACACATACATACACACATGAAAGAAGAAAATACTCTTAAAAATAGCTTTGGAAGAAGTTAAAGTAAAATTAAACATAAATTACTACAATAGGTTAGGTAAGGAAATTCAACAGGAGAAACAGCTTTTGTCAGCACAGATGGAGGAAGTTACACAGGGAATAGAACAGTGCAAGAAAGATATGCAACTCACCTATGCACAAGTGGCCAAGGAGAAGGAAAAAATTGAAGAAGCAGTAAAGGAAGTCAAACACTGCAACAACCAAGATAAAACAAACATTAGGCTGGAAGTGAGAAAAGAATTGGCATCTAACCCGAAGTTGGTGGAAAACACAGTTGATCGGAGTAAGTTCCTGATAATTTTTGGCTGCAAAGAAAAGGAGTGAACATCTAAAAAAATTACAAAGTGAAAGAAAATTGTAGAAAATTACAAAGTGAAAGTGTGGTCGTTAAGACGAGATCTTTCAAAAGAAGATAGAGAGAAGCTGAAACTGAACCTCGCCGAGGCAAAACGTTTAAACGAGAGCAGGAATGAAGAAGAAATCAATTCTTTTTTCTACAAAGTGATAGGGGTAGGCAGACCAGTAAAGTGGTACATAAAGGCAAACCAACAAAATCATTAGAGAGAGGGGGAGTGAAAAATAAGAATAGGAGGGAACAAGTTCCTGAAGATTGCATACACCAACATAGATGGAGTAAGATTGAAGATACTGGAGTTAGGTTATATAATACAGCTGCAGACATCAAACATTGTTGCACTCAGGGAGACAAAACTTGAAGATGTTATTTTAAATGAGGT